TTTCTCTCTCTCTCTCTCTCTCTCTCTCCCTCTTTTTCTCTCATTCTCTCATTTTAGCGACCTGCCGTGCGTATTCTGGAATAATTATTGTATACGTCGCGCAGATATCCGCCGCCTCGTGCATTCGTTCGCCGTAAAAATGTCGCTTTGATAGAGGGAGATATCCGTTAGCGGGCATTCTGTTCCTGGGAGACGGCGCTCGTACCTTGTTTCGTACAATGTATTAAACAGCGAACGAATCGCCGAATCCAAATAAGATATTACGATCTTAAATATGTCTGGTATACAACGACATCTGGCATAAAAGTTATTCAAAGCCTGATCAGTAGTCGTTAATGCCACAATTTTATTAACCAGCGAAATTAGATATTATTCTTCAGATAATTATTTGTTGTTTTTTTCTCTTTAGCAGAAGTCACGTGTTGCGTAAACATTTCAGCGAGAGGCGCGCAAAATGTTAATTCGCTACGTCAAGCGGAAAGAAAGCAGGTCGGATTGCAGGCCAGCAGGGCTGACACCGAGGTATTAAAACCTGTCGAATGGATGTGGGCGATCTGTCGTCAGATCCGGCAGGATTGATAGGGAGCGGATCCATCTCGGTTACAACGGGTGTTGGTATTATCGCCAACGCGACATCCGCCACCCCAGGGTGGTGGACGCCTACGTCGACGATCACATCGGCAGCGGCCAACACCGACGTGGTGAGTTTTCTTTTCTTCTGCGGACGTTTTCCACTAGAAATCATTTTCCACAATGAACGTTACATCAATCTGTTTTTTATATATGAGCGCAAACATTTTTTGAGCGCGACAAAAAGAGTAATTGCCTTCGTAATTGGTTACGTTGTCGCACATTGCTATTAATACGGACATTTGTTTAATAGCATCTTTTAGATCGACTGACGTATCCGATTATTATGAGGAGACGAAAAAACGTAAACATTTGTAATAAATATGCAGCATTAATGCCGCAGGGTTAGTCGGACGAGAGAGATTCGCATGTCACGTGGCATTTACCGTGAATTACGGTCCTTCTTATTCAAATATGATATTTCTATGGCATTTAGTGCGTTTAATTACGGGTCTCGCGATTTAATTAAACTGCGGTGTCTCTCACGAACTGATCGGATTGAAAGCACAGGGATCGTTTGAGCTTGTCGTCATCGCGGTTGATTGGTATTTATATAGGAGCCGTATCGTTTTCACTCAAACGAGACTTGAAATAACGGCATCGAGAAAACGATGGGAACTCTGAAAGACAGAAGAAGCGTGTCGCATTGCAAAAAGACCATCAAACATTACATCAGCGCGCTCTCCTCCTCGTCGAGCATCGCTCATGGCGGCACCTAATGAGACACTTCTCGTTTGGGACGTGGGTGGGCGATGAAAACATTCAGACTGATGCAGACCATTTTCTAGCGATGTAGATTATCTTCGCAAAATGCGAGAAGAAGCGGCACGGCCGAGGGGGAAGCAGCGCGTTATTTAGTCCCGTCGATGTGTGGCGGTCTGTGGCCGCGGGGATTAGAACCGAGGTGACATAGCCGCGTCATCTGTTGGACGTTTAACCTTTTTTGCCTCCTACCTCGGCCTGCACGTCGCTGCTCCTCGCCGTCATTTCCGCGAGAAGTCATCAGCTCGTACCGCGCATACGTTCCCAGGTTAATGAGAACGAAAGTAGTTTTCGAATACCTGCGCGCCGCTGCAGGCCTGCGTTTCAGCGCTCATGACGATCGGCAGAGAGATCCGGTCATCCGAAGATATAATATATTTGCCGAGATCGTGGATTAATTTTTATACCGAGCGCAAAACGAACGGAAAAAGAAGGGAGGAAGATGAACTTTCGCATTTTCATGCGGCACAATGCACGCGCGTTTACCGGCATCGATATTATGGTAATAACGCCGATGTCGTTATGTCGAAATATCCTCACGATTTAGGTCGCGCGAAAATCTCGCTGCAAGCGCACGCTCGCGTAGCCGTTTTGTAATCAATTCGGTTTTGTAAACGATTCCGCGTGCGGCGCGGTAACCAGCGGTGCCTAAATCCGGTCGATCTGGCGCATGTATAAATCGCGCGATTCCGCATTAAGTTAAGCGCCATTAAGCGTAAGATGTTCGCCGGCTCTGTGGAACGTGCGCGAGTCGCGCAATAAACCAAAATATTAATGAATCGTAAAATTTACTCGCAAAAGTCGTAAATGACCGCGGGCGACCCATCTGGCGGCGCGACATCCGCGAGGAGGAATTCGAGCGAGCGCGGAACTCAACACGCGCGCGTTCGTAATCTCCCGACAATTCCCGTCCGTAACGCGAGCGATCAATTTCTCGTCGCGTTACGACAGAACGGCGGCCGTTACTTTAGCGCACTCTTTTCGTGTGGGAACTCGGGCCCGCGCGAATCGCCTCGCTCTCTTACTCGCGCACAATCCGCGCGTCGTCTCCTCTTCGCTTCTCTCCCGCATCCAAGCGGCGAGGGAGCTACGCAGTCTAGTAATGACTGGCTAACTAGGTTTTAATAGGAACGCGATTTCTCGTAGCGAGAAAAGGAACCCCTCGTTCGCGCGTTCCTTGTCGATCCTCGTGCGAACGAGGTAGGAAAGGGTTCTTCTTCTCTTCCCCGCGACGTCGAGGATCCTCCAGATCCTCCGCGAAGCAGATGCGCACTCGCGCTGATTGGCAGTCACAATACGCGCGCGGATCGGCCGCGATCGCACTGTTCGACAATAGATTATAATCGAGGATATTAAAGTGGGAATATTCGAAATTTCTGAATGATTTTGAATTGCGATCTACTGAGACAAAAGTCCGAGAAATGAATTTCTTGTTTCGATAAAATTATCTTTTATCTTTAATGTAAAGTGATGTAGAACGAAGGGAACGAAGGGATTATGTTTAAATGAGTGAGACATTTCTAATATTAATTTTGAACACGATACTATTTATGGAATTTATTAATATTTTGAAAATATTACCGGATTGTAGTTTTAATACACAAATTTCTGTAATTTTCTATGCGTAAATTATAATACTTTATAGTATGTGTTATATAGTACATGTTTATTTAAGAATTTAATGTAACAGATTATTCAGACAAGAATTTGATTCAATTTTGTGATGAGAGACATTGAAAAGAATATTAATGATTAATTAAAAATAAAATATTTTATAATTAATTTTATGGAAATATCGTTTTTTAAAAATAATTGATCGTATTTATACATTATATCATATCAATTACATTATAGAACTTATCTTTAAACAGTGTTTTTTGACTAAAAGTCTTTTGAAAATGCATGTTTTCATATATTTAATATATTTATTAAATCATCTTGTTTTTTTTCGACTACGGTTTCATAATAGTGCTTTGTACTGAAATAGCAGGCACCGGCTATATCCTATCACAGTGCTCTTCGTTGTTCCGATCTTGCATTTCGAGAGCGTGCATTAGATCGAGAAACCCTTCCATGATTGGCAGATATTGTATGGGGATCAGGCGCGATCGTCGGGCACATTCTGAACGTCCTCAGGTCCCGAGCGTAACCACATGTCGCATCTTTTTGTTGCAGATGAATCAGCTCTGCAGGGTTTGCGGAGAGCCGGCCGCGGGTTTTCACTTCGGAGCCTTCACGTGCGAAGGCTGCAAGGTCAGTATCTTCGCGTTGCCATTCGTCCACAGCTATTCATCCGTGTCGTTATTCTCTAGTAACAAAACGAAAAAAAAAAAACGAAAGCAGAAAAAGAAATAGAAAAAGAGGGATTACGATCCGCGATTACGTTTCTCGCGGCGCAAGATACTCTTATCCCAAAAATTATGTAAATCGTGTAAAATTACGCGAGGACAAAGTTTCGAAAATGCAAATTTTTTTTTAATACGGATACGCCAATAAAATCAGTCGCTTATTTAAAAGTTTCTATATGTCAGAATGAATCTGCATGCCGTTATTCAAAGATTTAATCATGTCCCGTGAGCACGCGCGCTTCCAATCGAAGCACGCGGACTTTCGACGGCTGGCATCTTACTTTACTAACAGGTAACTAAATGTTCATTTCAATGCGCGTTTCCCCGTACGTCCGGTCTGTAATAAAGCGAAAGTGCAAATCGTTAAGCGATTGCGATTGACCAATGTGCGTCTATTTCGCTTTCTGTTGCACAGTCCTTCTTCGGGCGCACCTACAACAATCTGGGTAGCATCTCCGAATGCAAGAACGGTGGCGTGTGCGTGATCAACAAGAAGAATCGTACCGCCTGCAAAGCGTGTCGCTTGCGGAAGTGTCTAATGGTGGGCATGTCCAAGTCCGGCTCACGTTACGGTCGGCGTTCCAATTGGTTCAAGATACACTGCCTGCTCCAAGAGCAATCCCAGCAGGCGCAAAATCGCCTGATCAAAGACCCCAAGTCCGCGTACGAGAAGGCCTTTGGCTCATTAGACGCTGCAAATAACAACAATAATAACAACAATACCGAGAATGCCAGTAACACTAGCGCCAGTAGTATTGTCGGTATTGTCACCACGGCGACCACTACGGCAAACAGTTACCATCATCATCTGCACCACCATCATCACTCGGACCGATTGCCCAAAAGGGAGGACGGTGCCCTTAGGCCACCGGATATTCCGGTGCAACTAAGGTCACCGGACATTCCGCCAAGAACCGGTCAGGAAACGATTTTGAGGCCTGGCGATCTTCCAAGGGCTCCGCACGAGATGCTCAGGCCCGAAGTTTCAAGGTTCCCCATGTGGCGAGGTCCGCCATTATTTCATCCAGCGCTCACGCATATGCAGCTGCTGAACGCGCCGTTCTTTCCGTTTCAGCAGCGCTTTATTGTACCTTACGTGAATCAAGTGGGCCCACCTCAGATGGCGACCAGCCTGTCGAGTTCGTCCAGCGAGAGCGTCAGCCCGCGGTCGACTCCATCGCCGACGAAGAGAAGCGAGGAGAATAGGGAGTGTCGCGAGGTTGATCGTGAAACCGACGAACGAGATCGATGTCCGAGAGCGGGTTCGATAGAGGTCGCGTACGACAAGAATTTGACCTTCCTGCGATCCCTCGGGCCAGAGCAGGAGGAACCAATGGACCTTAGCATGAAGGATACACGGACGGATGGACAGGAGGCGGACGCTGGTAGCATGGAAGAGGAGGAAGAGAAGTCGAGCGATAGCGAGGACAACGAGCTCCTGCAAGACACCGGGCCGCCCTTGGACCTCACCCGGAAGACATGACCTCGGATAACGAACGATGCTCGCTAAGCGATCAACGAGAATTTGACCCGAGAAGGATCGCCGCCGATGTTTACTCGGAATCCGCATGGATGAAAGGTATAATGGTTCAGTGTCGCCGAGTAATTTGCTGGAAGAGAAGTCGGCGAACGGAGTCCCTCCTTCCTCACGATAAGAGGAAAGAAATGAACGTTCGAAGGAAAAGACAAATGGGTGGAAAAATAACGTAAAAGACGTAAAAGAAAAGGAAAGATTTATTGAAGAAGAGAATGGAGAAGAACGCGCGAATCACACGAGACGCGAAGGGGGTGAAAGAAGGTACAGTTACATCGTAATAATCTCGCGGCGAGCGAGAAGCACGGCCGAATGTCAAAGGTGCCTTGGTACAAGAAACGAGACGGCGATTCAGGGAGAAAGAGAAGTAGCCGAATACGATTACGTTGGAAGACACATGAGGGAAAAGCAGAAAGAGGGAGTGAGTGCGTTCCTACGACACAGGAGAAGAAGAGGTGCCGCGCACAGCCAGCCGGCATAAACGGCTTTACGATCGACGATCGTCCGATCGATGAAAATTGCTCAAGCCGCTCAAGTCGGTATTAGCCGACACACAGTCCCTTTTGCCCGGTGGTACCCCGTCGGCAGGTGCACACTTGACGAAGCGAACGAGAATATATCGGGCTCACGATACATTCTCTTTTGTCGGAGAAATGTACGACGAACGAAATGACGGTGACGTCAAACTATGCGCGACTCGCGATTCGCACAAAAGTTTCGTAAATATTGTGAATAAGTAGATTTGAATGACTAACCACAAATTGCGAACTGTGTGACGAATTTCCATTGGGTAACAAATCGCGAATCGTGAATCGCGCATGTAATACTAGCTCGAAATGGTGCCTTTAAAAAAATGCGGTGCCTGTAAAAATCGCCGGTGATAGTTTAATGTTAAACAATATATAATCATTTGCCGCAGTGTGACGACCACGCTCGGCGGGATGGCCAGTGAGTGCTTCGCGCATATTATTACCTGCCGACAAATCGTTCGGCAGGTGTTCGAGGCCCGGGCACCATTCGATCCATTCGCATTCATCGATTCGTCGACGAGAAAGTCGGCGTCAATGTGAAAAATCGGATCGTGATGACTCGGGCATCGGATAAATTGTGATTCTTCGGATTCCAAGTGCTCTTAGTATATAACTTATGTATATTTTTCGAAAGGCTTTTCGGACGAACAGGGATCATACAAACTCAAGCGCGGGAGGATCATTCCAAAATGCTCCGATCGTCTACATCAGCGACACTTGCAGTTGCGCTCAAGTACAAAAAAAAAAAAAGAAAAATACACGAAAAGAATAGTTTTGCTGAAGAATCCAAAATTTTGACCAAATACAGATCTAAAAATAGTTTTGATTAACTATTAATAGAATTATACAAAACATTCAAATTGACTACTAGAATATCAAATAATTTTTTGCAATTATCGCCATGCTTAAGCAACAAAATTACTACTACAGATCTGTATCTGGCGAAATTTTTAGCAAAACTGTTCTTTCCGTATAGAAAAAGACACACACGGGAGACATGTGGTAGCCACGATCGGACGATACGCGCGAGGTATGGGCACCGTTTGAGTGTCCGAGTCGAGAGTACGAAATGAAATAAAGAATATTGTATACCTGAATGTGTGTGACGCCTTGATCGTCGTTCATTAAATATCCCTCCACACTCATCGATCCTCGATCTCCAGCTACGTTCCTAACTCGAGATGGTATTCGATTACTTTCGTCTCGCGCGTCTTTCACATTCCACGCCGCGCCGCTATCGGACGTGCGCGTTATAATATTATACACGCGCGCGCAGACGCGTATCATCGTATCGACGATGTTATTTATCTAGTAATAAATTTGTCCGCCTTGATATACTACGCAAAACACGTTTTCCCGATAGTTTCACGCCGACGCGACGCGACGTCTCGAGAAGAATGATGCGATTCCTATCCCGAGTCGAGGACGTCGAAAACGCCTGACAATAAATTTTCTTAAAAGTTCAGCAATAAACACGCGAGTATATCGATCGTAAGGTTTTTTCCCCTAAGGTCGTTTGACCGGGTCAGCTGGAGTTCCGCTCCGCACGCACGGGAGAAAAACTTCCGTAGGAGACGATGAGCAACGTGGAACCAGGAAGCGCGTACTTCTCGCATGCGGAAGTTTTATTGCTAATTACGTTATACTCTTCGAAATCGAAGTGGTTTTCCGTCGGAGCGTAATATTCCACATGCGAATCCCGATAATTTATGAATATCCGCGCCGCTATGGGGATCCTCGCAATGCCGCAATCATCGAGGAGAGATCACGGCTGGAATTCGCATTTTGCGACACGACCTGTCCGTGGAGATTTGTCTTAAAGGAAAGTTTTCGCTTGCCTTAAACCACGGCCTCCTTCACGGATATGTTAACGCATTCTTCATAGATGTGCTATTATTAGCAATTTTACGACGACACGCTTCTCATACTACATGCCTTAGAAGAAGAATATAAATATCTTGATTATCTATGGTTATAGTTATAGTTTCGAAATTTTAATGTATTGGTTTCATCGAAAGTATATGCTGGTCCGTATTATACGAATATCGAATACATTGAATTTTAGGAAAATAAAATGGACAGTGAGATTCGCTTTGGTATCAATACCTGTTTAATTTATGCATGACCTCCGTAGCTTCGCGAGTACTTGCAAAAGATACTTCTCCGAGTTAGACCAGAACGTAATACGTCTGGCAACATAAATTATGCAACGCAAAACGTGCAAGTTCGCAAAATTGTGTTTGCAGCGCGCGAGCCCCGAGACGAGATCTCTGTCAATATTCATCGCGCGAACAAAATGGCCTTCCTCCTGCTAGAGCTCTCAAATAACGTTTCGTACATATTACGAGCATGTTTTCGCATATATTCAGCAAAAGGAGAGACGATTTATGTTTCCCGTCGCGCCGGACAATTATTACCGAATTTTTTAATCACCCGAACCTCGAAAACATCGTGATCTCTAAACTATTCCAAGATATTTCTTCTCGTTGTCGAAGATACAACAACTTTAATCATTGCAATTTAAAAATTAATTGTAAAATTTAGTCGTTTCTGAAAAAAATGTAATGAAAGATACGTATACGTTTTGACCCACTAATAAATTGCACAATGCGGGTGGCTGCTTTTAATTTAACGAGCACTTTTATTCTCATCTCGATTCCGGGCATTTAGCCGACCCTTTAATTCACCGCGCCATTACGGCATCGGAACCCTGTTATACACGATATTAAATAAACGCAGTGATTCGCGCGGCGGTTACAATTATTATCATTACGCATTTAATAACGCCCGACGTGCGAGGCGGGCCGCGAGTTATCGTTAGCGCACAGGGATTTGCGGCACGCCATGAGCGAGCCAACGTCGGCGTTTCGACGGCCGGTAGTCGCCGCAACGAGAGTCGCGCGTTTCCGCATTTCGATCCCTCCACGCAGAGGAGTTGTCCCTCCCTCGACAAACGGCCGGCGCACACGCGCGAGAAAATTCGTGAGTTGTGCGTGATACCGGCGGCGTGGCGGCGCGAGGTGTTCGCCCGCGTGCACCTGCGTGTGCACGTATTCACACGACACGCTCACGCTCGTAACCCCGCGACTGTAAAATGCCGAGTGGCTAAGTCCGCTGCTTGTTGACTTAGGCGGGACGAGAGAGGCTACTTGACGTCCATCGCGTGGGCAACTCCTGTCGGGTCCGATTCAAGTATTCCGATGGACGGGCCTCGGCGTGCGCCGAGAAAAAAATACAACGGGGCATGAAATATGTCGCACGTGGCCGCTTCAAACTACATCGAAAATTCAACTGTGCTCATTTCACGCATGTTTTTCAACGTTCGCACGTCTTTCATTATGTATACACGTATGCTCTTAGTATACATTTGCGATCGATCGTAAAAATTAATGAAAACTTAATTTATTCTGGGATAACATCTACAAGGACTATCGAATGTTGCAATCGAGATGGCATGGTAATTAGAAAAAAATTGAAAAAAAAAAACACACTGTGACAATCGTATTATTTGAATTTTTATCGAAATCATTTTGATTGCTTATTTCCAGTGTCATATCAGATTCAAAATTTTTAATATTCATGAATCTTTAATTTTTTCAAGTTGTAGTCTGTCAATTAAAATTACTTTATATATTAAGTTGTAGATCCTAATGATGCAACTTTTATATATAAAATTTTTAAGTTCAAAAAGTAATAAATGATTGAAATTAGAATACATTCGAATTGCAAATTACTTAAAGTAAGATGTGTATATATAATGAAAGTGTGTATATATAATTTACAACTTTTCGTTATGATGAATGTTTACAGATATTTCATATTTATAAATGGTTTTATCCATTTTCCATATTCATCAATCTGTATTTAATAAGGTCTAGATGATAGTGGAATGTTTTTTCTTCTAAATGTTTAAAAAAATATTAGCGATAAAGTAACACACATTGTCGCGTATCTAATTGAAGACCAAAATGTTTCAAGTCGATAAGAGCCGTCGTATCATCAGAAAATTTTTAAAAGGCGGTTAAGCGAAACTTCAGTTCATCAAAAACTTCTAGTATCAAAAAACGTGCGGAGTGTACATGTAAATCATTAATCATGTCTATCGGACTGATATTGTTGAAGAATTCGATAATTTAATCATTTTGACACCTCGTCAAATGTAATATCCGAAGATATTCATCATTCAATCCCTATGTTTACATTTATTTCTGCTCTGCTCATTTTTTTTATATTTATTTCTGCTCTGCTCATTTTTTTTTGTGAATTTTTGGTTCTTTTCATATCAATCCGTATATCATTCATTCTACTCATACATCATACTCTTACATTCTACTTCATTTTTCATCTATTTTTCTGACACTAATCGTTCCAAAGACGTTTCTCCTCATAGCTTCGCAAAAATGATTACGTTTTATTATGTGTAATAAGATACGATAATAATGGCATATTTAACGCGATGGTACATCGCAAGGATCGACATAAATGTCAGTAGTTTTTATTTCCGTATGCGAAGTAATCTTCAGAATTTTACGCTTTCTGTACAAATTCTGCACTGCAGTTATTTTCGTATCGTTGAATAACTTTATAACAATCTTTTACGCCGTATATCTTCCGAGTCGTAAATGTTTTTTACGTACGTTTTTGCGATGTATTATTTATTCGCCGCTGATGCATGCAACGATGTTATAAATTAACCTTCTATTTATCTATTAATCCGTCTATTAGGATTTAGAACGCGTCCACCCTTTCCGTTAATCAAATAAGGACATCGTTTGATTATCCTTAGTTGTGGAGTGTCCCGATATATTTTTCACGCATTGAAATTCCAACTTGTTTCTTAGTAACTCTTGCGCCATCTCTGACTAGGTATATCCTTTATTGCGCGAATCTCTCTTAGCAGCGAGTCATTTTATTGCCGAAGACGACAACAAGTCGTCCGAGTCCGTCGGATCATTTCTTTCCATTCGCACTTGTCAAGTAATCGGGGTGTTACCAATGTGTCAAAATGGACCCTGTCTCGAGGTCACATCTCGTGTCGCCGAACGTCTAAAAATGACGATCACGTCATTGCGCGATCATTCGGGAAAGAGACAGAAAGAATCGCACCTGACTTTTTTTATCCCCAACTTGAAAACCGCTCGATCTTCATGAGTTTCTCGGATTGCAAGAGAATATGCAGCATAATGACGTATTTATCTATTGCCGAGCGTTCTTTTTTCCTCTTCCTTTCGTCTCGCATCTCCTAGGTGGTTTACATAAATCCCGACGAGAAAATCGTTTGACAGGATTCGTCCGAGTCTTCCGCCATGTCATAAATTAATAAAGTTCTTTTTCTTCGATTCGAGAACAAGAGCGCAGAGGAAAGAGAGTGAGAGAAACGGAAAAATGGGATGAGCGGAAGAGAGTGGGAAACAGAGAATGACATACGGGGAGAGAGGGACGGAGTGACGAAGGAGAGAGCCCGGAAGAAAAGCAGGACCGGTTGCTTGTTCATTGACGGGACGAAGGCCCGCTCGTGAATGGTGGTGGACACACGTGAGCCAAGAATAGGATTCACCTCTTGGCGGTCTCGAATTTTTCTGCGTCGTGCACATGAACTCGCGCCATGGCCGTGTCATGTCGCACATCTCCGTCCTTCCTTCCCCTCTTTTCCCCCTTAGCGTCCGGACTGGACGTGGCTGTTGTTCGCGACGCTGATTAATGCGCGGATGCTGAGGACGGAGGCTCTTGATCAAATCTGGCGGGCAATCAGCCTCGCTGCTTGCCTTGATTTCCGGCAGTCACACGTCCAACAACTCGCGATTGTTTTTGGTACGATTTCTTGGGAGAAATTAGCTTTTTCTCGTCACATTGATGGAAGTAATTTGAATGATAAAATTATGATTAATCCATTAAATTTTTATCGAGATTGAAATATTTTACAATGACGATCGAGCTTTCGTAACTTCGGAAGCCATTTATAATGGCAATAACCTGATGGAATTCAACATCTATAACGAGTTGCCATTAAAACGATAATAAATTTAGTTAGATATGTATTTTTATTTCGATCGTGTTGTATCGGCTTGTGTGAGCATCCAGATTTAATTTAATATTTA